AGACTATTCCGTCTGAAAGTGAAGTTGTTGTTTTCTTTGTCTTTTCTAACAATTCAATACTAATCTGCAAATTGACTTTTATTTCCAGTTAAATAGAATTATAAATTTGACCACCCTTTAGTTAATAATTCCATAATTTGCTAGTATATGAATTTTATTACCATATTGATTATTAAAAATGATAATTGAAGGGTCAGATTCAAGAATTGGTTATCAACTGATGTATCTGTAGAAAATGTGTGTATATTGCTTTATTGACTTCTAGTTATAAGATCCAAAGTGGCTTGGTTCTGACTTTGACCAAGATTTTCTTTTGCTGCAGTTGTATCAATGGATTGGAGGTTTCAATAGCAAATAGTGAAATAAGAACACAAAAATGAAAGAGGAGTCGTCAGGATTGATTATTGGGATTTCGATAGGGGTGGTGATTGGGGTGATTTTGGCTATTTTAGCTCTGGTTTGTTTTAGGTACCACAGAAAGCGATCACAGATTGGGAATAGTAGTTCTAGGAGGGCAGCAACAATCCCCATCCGGGCTAATGGTACAGATGCATGTACTATTATGTCTGACTCAACCATTGGTCCGGAGTCACCTGTCAAAGCTGGAAGAAACGGTGTGTCCTTGTGGCTTGAAGGATTTAAGAGGAGCAATATGGTATCTGTTTCTGGGATACCTGAGTATTCTTACAAGTATGTTTTTCTCTAATCTTTTTCGGTAATGACTTTATCTGTTGAATTTGAATGAAATTCCTTTTTGGTTATTCATATGATTGAGTGATGAGGTTGATTGCAACTGAATGGCCTGCTAGTAATTATTTTGATGTTAGAGTTTATGCTCTGCGTCTTGACTCCTGCACATGTAGAAGGTCATATGATGCTTGGAACAGTCGATGATGATGAATGGATAAGTGTGCTTTCAAATTTAGAATCTTAAAATGATCTTAATTTGAAGTTCAATTATTACTGCAAATAGCTGATTTTGGGTGTCTAAGCTAGAAGGAGAAACTGCCAGAGTTTTTCAAGTTTTTCAAGTACAGAATGTGTTTAACACCAGACAAATTAATCTCTTAATGTAGAGGATGACTCAGAATGTTTTGTATGGGTTTTACCGCCTGTTGTGTTGTTATGTGTTTGCAACAGAACCAGATTTGAGTTGGATACGCAATCTCTTTAATCTACAATTGTGGTATTTATGTACTCTTAAACTGGTAATAGTGAGATAACTAATCTGTAGATTTATGTTGCAACAAATGGGGAGCATTTTATACATATAAAAAAGTCAATAGGATCACGATCAGTAATTCCTGTTATTTTATAATTCTTTTCTTCCCTTAGGTTCGTGTTTAAAATTTTGCTCATGGTGTTACTCATGCAGGGATCTACAAAAAGCAACCTATAACTTTACAACACTAATAGGACAAGGAGCATTTGGTCCTGTTTATAAAGCTCAAATGACAACTGGAGAGACTGTTGCTGTTAAAGTGCTTGCAACTGATTCTAGGCAAGGGGAGAAAGAATTTCAGACGGAGGTATTGTTGGTTAACAATTTCACTTTCACACCTATATTGATATTTAATACTGTAACTACAAGTTGCATGTGTGTTAAACATTAATGCATATGTTTATATTAATCCTCATTTAAGAAATGACAACTGGCACAAACATGTCTTGAACAGAACTGGATCTGGTTTCTGAATCAATTTCTTTAATTAGTTGTCTAAGGTCTGTCTAAATTTGTTTGACTTCTAATGGTATGCTAGTCAACAGATGGGGAAGTTTTTAATAAAGTTTTGTAATAAGCGGAGAGAAAAGTTAATAACATGAACATCAATGAAAGAGCTGCACGCATAAAAATAAGCTATTCTGCTTTGCACATGAATTATGGACAGAAGTTTGGATTATGATAAATTCAAGACAGTCTGCCAATTGTATGAATTATGTTCAGTTTAGGAAATAAGATATACCCAGTTCATAATTAAGAAATCTTCGCTCTGTTTGACAATTATTCTTGTTTTGTCCCCAGTGTACGAATGGTTGATGTGTTACTGCTTCATGCAATTTATTCACTTGTGTTTGTAGATATTGTTTTGCATTCCATATTGTTCATTGCTTTTAACCTTTCAATTTTGTTTTAACTATGTTCAGGTTATGCTATTGGGAAGGCTGCATCACAGAAACCTTGTGAATTTGGTTGGATATTGTGCAGAAAAGGGCCAGCATATGCTTATATATGTCTATATGAGCAAAGGCAGCTTGGCCTCTCATTTATACAGTAAGTTGGCATCAATTTTGTGCATGGTAGAAATATGCACACGCACATGCTTTCTGGAAGCTGTAGTTGGATAGGCATCTTTGTGTGTCAGATTGCATAGTAAATAGCTGCGCTTTGATTGGCCATCACTTTGTTACAGGGATTAGAGTTTGCATCACTTGTAAACCTCTCACATGAAAAATTTACAATGGAAAATTGTCTCTCTCTGGGAAAGTTTTAGCTTGTGGCTTTTTTGGTAGTTGTCTCTACTGCAATAATGAGCAAGAACCACCATTGTGAGATTTCATAATGGGGATTGTGAAAAATAACACGATTTTCTTCTTCATTCAGGAGAAGACCTCAAACCTTTGAGCTGGGATTTGAGGGTTTATATTGCTTTAGATGTAGCAAGGGGCTTGGAGTACCTTCATGATGGGGTAAACTTTCTTTTTTATGTGGACTAATATGTGTGCATTTGTGCATGCATGTCCTCCATAGTAACAAAACTTCTTTATTACTTTATCCTTAAGAAATTTTTCTATTTTCTATCTATTATGCTGCAGGCAGTTCCACCTGTGATTCACCGGGACATCAAATCTTCCAACATTCTGTTGGATCACTGCATGAGAGCCAGGGTATGTCTATTGTGTATTACAAAAACTTAGCCTTGTGAGAAGTTACAGTAAAGTTTCATTTAACGTCTTGGATATATTTACAAAAGAATTAGTTAATTATTTTAATTCACCGTGTACAGTCATCTTTTTTTATTTTTTCATCAATAAGTGTTAGTTTCTCATGCTAGTTTCATGCTCCTGTTCATGCTGGCTCAAGTAGGTAGCTGATTTTGGGCTTTCAAGAGAAGAGATGGTGGACAAACATGCAGCTAATATAAGGGGAACTTTTGGGTATCTCGATCCTGAATATGTATCGACAAGAACCTTCACAAAGAAAAGTGATGTCTACAGCTATGGAGTGCTGCTCTTTGAACTTATAGCTGGCAGAAATCCTCAACAAGGTCTTCTGGAATATGTTGAACTTGTAAGTCTCTACAACTCTTTCTCAACAGGATGGTTAACTTCAAACTGAAAATTTTGCCAAATTCCAATTAGTTTTGCTGTATAACATATCCAATTCTAGATCCATCCATTGGATATTGATGATTCATGAACAAACCATGCCCTCACTTGTGACAGAGACTAAGAGCGCTTTGTTACAGGCAGTAATAGTTTTCCCTTGGTTAGAATAAATTGGAAAATAATGCTAACATTGAAGGGTCGCAAACTAGCTGTTATCTGTTATAGTTTATCATGAAATGTCTTCAATAAAAAGTGGTTGTTCTAGCTTCTAAGGAATTCTTAACCAATCAAAAATTGGGTCTGCTTTTTTGTGTGTTCTTGTTTGAGAAGAGAGGTCATGTTAGCTTCGGTTGGTCTAGTGGATATCTCTGCATCAGTCTTTTTTTTCCCCCTTAATTTGAATTTGTTTTTCTAAAATGATGAACAGGCAGCAATGAATACTGAAGGAAAGGTTGGGTGGGAGGAAATAGTTGATTCCCGTCTGGATGGGAAATTTGATGTTCAAGAGCTCAACGAAGTGGCAGCTCTAGCATACAAATGCGTCAACCGTGCCCCTAGAAAACGGCCTTCCATGAGAGACATTGTGCAAGTTCTTTCCAGGATCCTCAAATTGAGGCACAATAAGAAGCATCACAAGAAGTCCCTCTCTGCCACCACAGCAGACGAAGTTTCCATCGATATGGACCAACAAGAAATCAGAACTCCTGTCTCTGAACGCCACCGGAGAGAGGAGTCAGTTGACAGTGCTGACACTTGTGAAGTATAGACAACGGTTTTGAAAAATCTGTTCATTCGAAAGTCCTTGGGTTTGGTTTTGGTTTTGGTTTGTGTTATATACATGCGGTTCAGAAGGAGCTAGGCAAGCAGATTTGTTGTACCTTCCTTTTTTTTTTTTTTTTTTTGTGTTGGAGGGGGGGGGGGGGGGGGGGTTGCTGAGTGAGTTCGTAGAGCAGAGGATCAATTCAGTTTGTTTATAGTTTTTTTTTTTTTTGTAACATAATTAGGTCCTTTTCTTTTTCTCTTTCGCTTTGCTAAAAATCACAAATCCCTGATTTTGTACATTAAATACTATGAATCATGAATGAAAATCTAAGGAAAATTACACCTTTTTCCCTGCAACTGTATTTTCACATTATCTCTTGAAACTGTCATTGCCATGTTCTGAAATGCTCTTGGATCATGCTCAGTACTAGGCTTGTTGTCTCTATTGGTGCCCTTTTTATTTTATTTTTGATAAATCAGTACCCTCTATTTCTTTATCATCATTTGCAGGTTGAGGCTCCCAAAAAAAAAAAAAAAAGAAAAGCAGTTGTAAATTATTATCATTCACTTAATAAAACTACAGGATTACACAACCTTTAGGTTGTATCTACTTGTGTAGTAGTAAACTATTCGTAAACAATATATAAAAACACAAATTTTATAGAAATATTTGATTAGCAAAAATAACTCTTGAAAAAAAAAAAAACTATTAACAAATCCGAAACAGGGCCGATATTATAGGCCCAGCAAACCCATGATTTCATTACAAGAACGGGAAACGACGACGTTCATTAGACAAACATCAGCTGCTAACAAAACACAAACTTTCTTTCGTTATCCATTCATCCAGTGTCAAAAACTCAAAAGGCCAGAGCGTGACAAAGTAGTAGCAGAAGAAGAAACAGAAAAACATGGCAGCGGTGGCTGCGCTTCAAAGCTCAATGTCCTCTCTTTCACTCTCCTCCTCCAACTCCTTCTTTGGGCAACGCCTATCACTTCGTTCTCTCTCCCCTGTACAAGTATGCTAATATCTTCTCTAACTTCTTTCTACTTTTTTTTTTTTTGGTTTTAATGCTCTTGAATTTTGGTAATTAGTTAATTATTTATATTTGATATATGAACCCCTAAAGAGATTTTTTTTTTAGCCCAGAATTTGCTTCTTTGTTTGCTATACTAAAATGGGTCTTGCTTAAATTGGAGTTTAATTGCTCTTTAGTAGTTGGTTGATAACTTCATAGCCAAAACATATCAATTTTTTTGTGATTTTTTTTTCTGAAACTACATTTATGTTTTGAATTTTTGGAATGTTGATGGTAATTTCCATATGGGTTTTGGCTAAAGTGAAAGTTTTGAAGTTTGATTATTGTATTTTGTTTTCTTGGTATTGACATATTTGGACTCTTTGTTGATATATAATCATTACTTCACTAGCACAAATTAATGTTATTTACCTGTTTTGGAGGTATTGATAGAAGAAGATGATGGCCTGTGAAACTTTTAAACTTTTGGTAGCTTGACAATAGGTGTTAGTAAGATTTAAGGATGCTAGCTTTTCGAGTTTTTTTAATGTTTGTTTGTGGATAATCTGTGCCCCATTTATATGATCATAAACTTACAATTAATTTCTACTTCGCTTGAGTGATGATTTCCATTGGTTAACATGTCTGGGGAATGAAGAGGTTGGTGGTCAAATAAATTTATAAACTGGGTCTCTTTTGCGGCGTTGTTTAAGGCATTGTATCTTTGTTCGTTTTCGTGTATAGCACTGACATTTGACTCTGTGAGTTCATTTTTTCATACAATAAGATAGCTTCAACAATTTTTTGTGCTGTGTTTACTGCTAGAAATCAATATTCATTTTATGTGACCAACCTTATAGATCGCTGTTTATTTACTGTGATATAACAAATATACATACCTGTCATAGTCACTTGATAGATCATTCTGCTTGCTTAACGTGCAGTTCAAGTCACCAGAGAAACCATGTCTCATTGTTATGAAGGTAAGTACCCACTAGTCCCCTCATCTTAGTTTCTCCTTTCTTTCCTCCCTCTTTTCACTTAATGAAATGAGCAAATTTGATGTATGCATTGCAATAAAAAGATAAATACAAAATCTAGCAAAGAGAGATTAGAATGCGTACCCTGTGCCACTAATTTGAGATAAAAAAAATCATTTTCCAGAGTCTATTTGTGTAAACGGTGTGTGTGTTTCATTGACTTGTCTGCCATAAAGATACTTGGTTGTACTAGGCTAAAGCATGAGAAAAGCCTGTGACTGTTTTAATGCCTTATAACCAAATTATTTGTTGCCTCCATGAATTTTGATCAGTAGCTCCACTAATGAGCTCACTCTGGTCAACATAAAGGCTCTTGTATTAAAGGTCTTCCCATGAGGATTCTGTATTGTACTCATGGGATGCAGTTGTATGCTCTGTCTTGTACAGCAACCTTTTTTAATAGCTGTCCTTCCTTCTTACAGCTTAAGCGATGGGAGCGGAAGGAATGTAAGCCAAACAGCCTTCCTGTTTTACACAAAATGCATGTTAAGGTAGGAGATACAATTAAAGTGATTGCTGGAGATGACAAGGGAAAGATTGGGGAGATTACGAAGATTTTTAGGCACAACAGCACTGTGGTAGTGAAAGATATAAACTTGAAGACAAAGCATATGAAGAGCAGAGAAGAGGGTGAACCTGGCCAGATTATAAAGGTTATTTTCACCCAAGTTTTTGTTTCATATATCCATCCATTTTTATTCTAGCAAGTTCTTATACTTCTGTGATTCCATCAGATTAGAGGCATGCATGTAACTGATGATATTCCTCACTAAAATATTATGTTGCAAATCTGCTTCACATATAGTTTTTCAGGAATTGCTTGCCATGCTTTATTTCAAATTTGTCCAGGGTGGATAGGATTGCTGAAAATTTTAGAAATTTCTGCTGTGCTAACTTATAAATTTTTATTCTTACATTTTAGAATCTAATACGAATATTTCTGGTTGCATGCTCCCTTTAAATCACAAATGGACTTTGATGTTCCAGATTGAAGCACCTATTCACAGTTCAAGTGTGATGCTCTATTCTAAAGAAAAGAATGTTGCAAGCCGGGTGGGCCATAAAGTTCTTGATGATGGGAAGAGAGTTCGATACCTCATAAAAACTGGGGAAATAATTGATAATGCAGAGAACTGGAAGAAACTGAAGGAAGAGGCTAAGAAAACCGAATTAGCTGCTACTACTTCGTAATTCATAGGAACACAACATATGACTTGGCAACTGATGTAGTTCCTGAAACTCTAGATGTATTTCTGCCCACGTTTTTCTCTACCGTCCAAATATCTTGCCTGGCCCCTTTCTTGACTTTTACATTGCCAAGCTTTTGTTGTACCGTTGGTATGCGGAAATGGATGTCAATTCTAGCGTAAACTTGTAAGTTTTTTGTATTGCATCTAATTCAATTCATGGATATAGTGCGTCTGCAACAACATTTAGTTCCATTCACAAAGACTGAAATGTAAAGTACTGAGTTTACTGTTGGTCACACGAAATTATGTTCAAAAGCCGATGAAGGTTGTTTTCCTAAGAATTTTTTGCAGATTCTGTTTCCTTTTGTTGTCATTTATCAACCTTGTGTTGCACAAGCTTTCTAATAATAAGAAACTCTCATATTACTTGGTCAATTCAACTTCCTGAATATTTTGGAGTTTCTACATTTCAGTTTTGGAAGCTCAAATCATGCAGGAAGAGTCTCTAGAATCTTAAATCGGACACCTGGATTAAATAACACTACTTTTTTCATCTTTCCTTCGGTTTGGCCTTGGAAATTCTGCTGTGGCAAAGTTCAAACAAGACCTAGAAAATGAAAGAAGCCCTTGGCTAGCATCTTAGCTCATTGACACAGAATGTATAGCCCCCTAGTTTTGCGATGTTTGAATTTTTTATTATTTTAATTTGCTAGCTGAAGTAAGACGGGGCTTGAAAATATGATTAAACTATAGCAGTGATGCTGCTTACAAAAGTTTTTATGTAAAGGATCCTTCGGACACATCTCGATAAAATTGGAATGATGCATTAAAGATAAGCATTGCCCTAGCACAAGATCACATGCACAAATCAAGAAATGTTCAACAATTAATATTAATTTAATAAATATACTAAAACAATATAGCCTTCACTGTAGCTAAGTCTCTATTTTGACTTTTAGTGATTTTTTTTTAATCTCCATTTTGTAATTTTTTTTTTATTTTGATCATTGAAGTTTTATTATATTTGATTTTTATCTCTGCAAGAATTTTTTTTTCTTTTAGTAAAACTTTTCATTATCTTTTGATTCCTATTTTATGATTTTTCTTTTATTTTGGTCATTAAAGTTTTATCATATTTGATTTTTATTTTTACTAAATTAAAACTAAATACGGTTTCATTATCCTAAACCTTTTTTTGGCATTTAGTAAAACTTTTCTTTATGTTTTGGTTTCTCTTTTGTGATTTTTTTTTTTTTGTTATTAAAATTTTATCATGTTTGATTTTTGTTCTTACTTTATGCATGATGAGTTTTTTTGGTTTTATTATTTATAAGTTTTTTTGGCTTTTAATAGAGTTAATTTTTTATTTCGATTCTTATTTTATGATCTTTACTTTGTTTTAATCATTTAAATTTTGTAGTGTGTAATTTTTGTGTCTATCTTTTGCCAAATAGGTTTTGAAATATTTTAATTTTATTCCCGTTTGACAAAATTTTTTTATCCTTTTGTTTTAAATCATCTCTTTCTATCTCATTAACAAACAATAGATGACAAGCATATTGTGGAAATTAATAATGTGAAATTCAAAAAATTATTACATCATTATTTTAATTACTAGTTATTATATATATTTCTAATAAAATACATATTTATAGTAAACAATATCTAATGAGTAACATTATATTGTTCAACTTTTCATTTAGCTAGCAAAACGACAATGCATGCATGAGAAATAAGGTTTAGTCCCTCCATTTTATGATTTTTTCAAATAATTCTTTTAAATAATTTTTTAAAATTTTATATTTTATATAGATGAACACATAAAAATAATATTATGTTGGTTATCTCGTGATAATGCACGGAGTAGATGCGAGTTGACAACTACAGCCGTAAAAGCTTGTGATAGGATCATAGCTTACAACTTGCACTCGGAGATTTTATTGATCCTAATCTAGTTTTATAAATTAATGATGATCAGGACCATTGCATTATATTACTGAAATGAAATTATTCTATTCTTATCGACTTATCCTGCTCAAAGAAGACAAATAAAGAAAGAAAAGAAAGGTTTTAGATAATCAAAAGCTAGGATAGGCCGTAATCGCAAAACATAATCCCAGAATATTTGGCAAACCATATCGTGCCTATCACCGCCAAGCACTCATTTCTCTATTATTATAAAACATTCATTGCATTTTCATCCATGTGGTTTCACAAGAATCTTTTGGATGTTACTTTGGCTGGTAACTACGTTTGTTGGTAATCTTACCATTTAAATAATATTTATTAAGAACTGTATAGTTGTTTTATTCTCTTTCATTTATATAGCCACAAACACATTAAAGTTGCCAAGCAAAGGTGACTTTGATATTGTGGGTATCTTGCACAGATCGTAGCATCAAGAAAATGGAGGAAGAGAAGAATACAGAGGTAGCTCTTCCTACATACTGTGTTACCGGTGCAAATGGCTATATAGGGTCTTGGCTGGTGAAGGTTCTCCTTCAAAGAGGCTACATGGTTCATGCCACACTCCGTGATCCTGGTCTGTATCTCTTGTCAACTCTTTTTCATTACTTCTTTTATAATTCCATCCTGTTTATGATCTCTCTTTCCTTCTTTCTTTTTTCCATTTTTATGGAGTAAATAATCTGCTGTTTTGAAAACGTAACAGAGATATACATGGTTTTCAATTTCGGATTTAACAAAGGGAACACCGAAATTGGTGAAAACTAGAGTAGAGAAGAGAGATCCAGAGACCTATGATAGCTTGTTAAGTTATAAATTGGTCCTTGTAGGTTATCTAAACTAACTACTTAGTCCCTTTATCGATGTTGGTCATCCTAGATTGGTAGTTTTTGGTTCTAAAAATATCACCTAATTGTCTTTTCGTTATTCCATTTCTCAAGAAATAAAAGAACAAGAAATTGAAATAGAACAAGTTAGGATTAAATTATAACCATTTTTAAAGATAGAGATTCAATATATAGTTCTAAAACTACAAGGATTAATCATTAACTTTGTTAAACTACAACTTCTAAGTTATAATTTAGTCCGGTTTGTTTCAGAGCTTGCATCACCCTGTACACCTGGGGAGCTCGTTTCTGTGGATATCATTATCATTACACGTTAATAAAAATACAAAATAAAAAAAATTTGACGTATCTAGCTATTGTACAAAAAAAATATTATTATTTGGCTATCTTAGTTGCGTTGATGAGCTGGAGAAAATGAGTAATTAATGACATATACAATAGTTACTTCTTTGGTTCACTTTGAGAATAGAGATAGACACACAAAAAGAGAAAAAAATAGGAGAGAGAAAATAAAAAAACTGAGTGAATGTGGAAATCTTTTTATAACTTTTGATATGTATAGATGTAATTTCTCTTTTTTTATTTATCTATCTCTCTCTTCAAAGTGGGTCTAAAAAGTAACTATTGTACATATCACTAGTTACTTCTTGTGTATTATAAAATTTTTCGATGATCTGTGATTTGTTGTGCATAAAAAAAACAATTTTTTTAAGCAAAAAAACAAAAGAATCTGTCTGATGTCACCATAACCAAAAAAACAAAAAAAATAATACAGATTTATGTAGTTATAAGCTAGTGCAGTCCAACTTTGAACTGGACTTCGGCCTTTTTCTGACCAAAACAAAGGCCTAACTATACTTAAATTGGATCATACAGATTTTTGTGGGCTTTAAGTCACCAATTTCTTTTCAGCCATGAATAAGATAGGAGCGATTGTTACTCCTAAATTGTCTCATCAAAGGTGACCTCAGACATGAGGAGGTGAACCATAGCAAGTTTGGGTATGATTTAGGACTGCAATGAATTTCTTTTTGATTGTTTTTTTGTTATGAAAATCATAGCAAGTCGAATGGAATTAGTAAAAGTAATAGTATCTCTAGTATCAAACTGCAATAATTTACCATAACAGTTAGAAAGCGTTCAGTCATTGTTAGCAGAGGTTATGCTCACTGTTTTTATGAGTTTATCCCATAACATGTACACTGAATTCGTAAATTCCAGTTCATGAACATGTTTGATATTCTATTTTACCAGCATCTAATGGGAGTTAAAAGAATAGCACCTCAATTTTTCAGGAAAGTCATTGCATTTGTTATCATTGTGGAGGGGTGGCGATCGGTTGACATTGTTCAAAGCTGACTTGCAAGAAGATGGCAGCTTTGATGAGGCAGTCAAGGATTGTGATGGTGTATTTCATGTTGCAGCTTCTATGGAATTCTGTGTTGATGGAAATGAAGACATCGGTAATGCCTACAAGCACCTTTTTAAACTGGAAATGAAGAAAGTAACGTTCTTTAATCAGAGTAACTATGTATATGAAATGTTAGACTTACTCTTGTTTCTTCATTCTTTGGAAACTTTGAAGAAAAATATGTTCAGCGTAATATTATCGACCCTGCGATTGAAGGTACGCTGAACCTTCTCAAATCCTGCTCCAAATCCAATACTGTAAAAAGAGTTGTCTTCACATCTTCCATCAGTACTCTAACTGCTAGAGACAGCACTGGACAATGGATACAAGTAGTTGATGAAACTTGCCAGACTCCCATTGATCATGTCTGGAACACAAAAGCAAGTGGATGGGTAAAGCTTTTACTTCTTGTATTTTTGTAACGATGTCAAGAAAAAAGTTTCACTTTCCTAGAATGAAAGATGCTCTGACTTTCACAGATTTATGTACTTTCGAAGCGTCTCACAGAGGAAGCAGCATTCAAATATGCAAATGATAACGGTATCGATCTTGTTTCAGTAATAACTACTACTGTTGCTGGTGCGTTCCTCACTTCAAGTGTTCCATCAAGTATTCAAGTACTCCTATCTCCAATAACAGGTAATTAGCTAGAAAAATTCACTTACTGATATCTGGATATGCAATTCTACCACGCAAGTCATAGCGAATCTTTCATGATCCATTCAATAAATAAACTGAGATAGTTTGCACACATCATTCAGCAATTCAAAAATATCCAGAACCTCTTATCAGTGACTTCACCAATTCCATGAAAATTATTTACAGTTGAATGATAATTTTAACACTCGGGTCTACGTAACATTTAAGGCCTAATGATCATTCAAGTTGGTACCATCCACTTGTAAAACAAGGATAGCATGTATGAGTTGTGCATCTAAAGAAGAACTAGTAACCTGTAAATTTTTCTACTTCTGCAGGTGACACCAAGTTCTTTTCAATACTATCAGCTGTTAATGCTAGAATGGGTTCAATTGCCTTGGTTCACATTGACGATATATGCAATGCACATATATTTCTAATGGAGCAGACGAGAGCGGAAGGTCGATACATATGCTGTGCCCAAAGTTGTGCAATGCCTCAATTGATTAATTACCTAGCAGAAGAGTATCCATGCTCAAACGTGCAGAGGTAAGTTTTTTTTTTTTTTTTTTTACATGACATGCAAAGTTGAATAACGATTCACATAGGATTTTTGTTACTTAAAACATTTCGTTACATCACCAGATTAGCAGAGGAGAACCAAGGTTCAATACCTCCAGAGATTTGTTCAAAGAAGCTAAGAGACTTGGGTTTTAAGTACAAGCATGGCATTAAAGATATGATTCGCGAAACTGCCACTTGCTTCCTTGATCAAGGCTTTCTACCACCTATTAAAAGTAAATGCCATTGATCTTGTCGACCACATTAACCAACTCCAAAAGACTAAATTTACTCTGGTATATCACAGGAAATCGGTGTTGAAATTTATTACCTAAGAATATAGTATACTAGTTTGCATAAATTTAGAGCAACCCCTTTTTTCTCCTAGCTTGAGACTGGTTATGTAACAGTTCATAGCAAAACAGGCAGAAGTGTCAAATAGAAATAAATGAAGCATGACCGAAAACATTGGTCGTTCAGTATATGTTGTTTTCTGTAGTCCTGCATTGTTAATTCTGAAAATTCATTGCCATTATAAATGCTGAAAAGACTTTAATCCTATTGCCGAAAGAATGGAATCGTGACTTGTGGTGGTAAACTGATCTAAAGGCACCGATTGCGGGCATCTTAAGACCAGGTCCTGTGACAGAACAAAGTTGAACCAGTTTATCATCAAACTCGAGACTCCACAATTGAATGGTAATAAAATGCTATTTGCTATATGCAGGCATATGGGGTCAACATGTTTTAAAGCAGCTAGGTAATTACATCAATAGAATGAAACCTTTATTCTGGATGGTACCGCAACATTAAGTGCATGAACTGATTTAATGCACTTCAACAACTATAAAATTTTGCAAGACCTATGAGGATAATCATAGGAAATAACAAACAGGCCAATGTCATGAAAGATAATTGCAACATGGATTAAATCCAAGTGATACAGCTTCGTTTAAACCAACTTTATCAACTAACAGAACAGCTTTCGTTTTCATTACCTTGCTGTTTGCTACATCGATCTTGTTATTATGAATTACTCTGCAGTAGGAGTATAGGACCATATAACAGTAATATCCCTAGCCAGTCTAGTCACATTGACCCATGAAAAGCTCAATGAGGTTGCTAAGTTGTTTTGGTCCAATGTTTGGACCAACAATTCCTAATGCATTAATTCACATGTGACTTGATACGTCATGCATAACGTAAATTTCAAGGAAACCTTCTCCATTTCCGGTTTATATGATATTTCAGGAAAAGAGCAGCAGGAAGCAGAAGATAAGAGAATAAAAGAAGACAAAGAAAACTTATAAAAATTAGCAGGAATTTGTACAAAATGACAATTTTATCATTCCCTCCGATTATGATAGGCTCTGTCTTTTCATTTTGATTCTCAATTTGTTGTTATTTGTAGCAGTCCTATCATACCCTAGATTATTTCTGGATGAGTCTAGAAGTAAAACCATTGAATTTGAATAAATCATGAAAAGGAGCTACTGAATTCAATCTAATGGTTTAAGTGGTTATTTCTACATTTAATGGTTCCTAGAACAATGGCCTTAATAATGAAAAAACCAATGGTCCAATGGAAATCGGTGTTTGCTGATATCGAATAGAAGCAACCCTAATCTGATATATATAGCTCAGCAGTTGACATCCGACCAAACGAGGCGTCCAAATCAAGGGGGCCATATCAACTGCACTAAATATCTTAATTTGGTTTCATCTGTTCTCAAACTACTTCCCCGCAAATATTTAAGAATGAGAATTGAATTCCATTCAAATTTCTGGAATAATAAATGCAGAGAAGTGCCGCTGCAAGGGTTGGGTACATTTATGAGGTGCATGTGCCAGCATTTATAGCTTCACAGATGTTGCAGCATGGAAATGAAATGATTTAACCTTATAAATGTCGATGGAAAGTTGGCATTTTTCAAATAAGAGAGAAATGGGACCCTAACCTCATCTTGAATATTAGCTGCTGCTTCACCGAGAGGATCTACAAGAAGCTCCAGAAGAAACAGTAACCTGATCGAAGAATTTACAGCACAAATTCAAATTGGGATGTGAATATATGAGAGAAAATAAAACTAACTTTACAGTAATCCCTCTAGATTTTTTTGTCTGCTGGTTTGGACTAACCTTTGTTTCAAGTACAACCCTCCAACAAGGACCACATGCAGATTTTGTACTGAGTAATGCTAGTGGACAACAAAATTTATCATTCTTGTAACCATGCATATTTCAGACTACAAGCATACACATGTTTACACTAATTTTATATTCATAAACTCACTAATTTCTGCAGAGGAAAGATGGGTCCGTGATCCACCAAGTGAGTCTATAAAATGGAGTCTGAGCATAATTCATTTGATTATTGTGTTACTTTGTTTTCAAGTGAGGCATGAGTTGATAAAATAACATAAACAGCTGGATTTCTTTCGTCTAGGGATTTTGATGCATGTGTGCAAGGCTTTGAAGTTTTCAATTATCAATGCACTAGCATATAAATCAAAGTCTGCAACTCCAAGTACATTTCAAATTTACCTGCAAGCTCATAAATTATGTGTAACTTTTTCATTCAAAGTGGGGCTACCCGATGTTATAATACAAAATTCAAATGTTCATTGTTTAATTATGAGGTATTTTGTTTATACTACTTTATTTCTGAACAAATGTGTCCCAAATCCTGAATCTGTCACACTACCTACTAATCAGCAAGTAACTAGAATAAAAAATTTGTTATATGTTATAACTCCAATCACGGACAAGGTAGCATAAACATTGTCATAAATGTGTTCATCAAAACACAAACCTAAACGAAAATGAAGAAATACAGTAGCATGAGATATGCAAATGTGTTGAGGGGCAGATACAACTAAACTAAGAAGCACCAAATTTGATATTCTGACGAGGGACAACAGCCTTGAAAGAAGAATTGTAATTCTTCAAAACATAAGATTCAAGAAAAAAATCCTCTAAAGAAAGGCGTAAAAGGGATTCACATAACTTCATAATGTAATGTAAGCATTTTTCCTTTTCTTTCCTTCAGGATTTACAGATTACCACAAAGCAAGGAAGCAGAGCTCTAGGATTGAGCAGATAAAGCTCCTCAATATTTGAATAGAGACCAACTTTCCCTGCCAAAGAATCAAACCCCGTTTGACTAGATATTTCTTGTATATTCTCCAAAGGCCTATGGACCCTCCCAGCAATCACTCGGCATACTATCAAAGCTTTCCTTATGCAGGGATCATCTTCAAATATTTCAATAGACTCAAAAGCTCTTCCACTGGTAGAAGTTGTGAACACGCCTACTCCACCTTTAAGCTCCTTCTTGGCTGAAAACCCATTTCGAATAATTCGACAAACACAGCATTTCTCAGATACACATAGACTGGAGGAACCATTTACTCCTAGAGAGCATGCAACAGTTGTGCAGTAAAACCTCAAAAGCTCGTTCCCATCGGCTATGCACCGAGGGTGTTTCTTTGGGAGCTTGCTGGCCTTAATTTTCACCATCTCTCTATATTCTTCGAATCGACCTAGAGTTCTTTGCATATTGTGAACCTTCAACACTCTTTCAATTCGACCACAATGGTTTTCACTCTTTAACCAGCTCGTTCGACATATGATTTCAACAATTTTTCTTGATGAGTCACCTTCCACAAGTTCAGTGACTGTCAAAAAGGAGAAATATAATGAGCTGCTGATAAGGAAAGCTACTCTAAAATCTCAAGAACAGCAAACCACTTAAATTGATTGGTTTGGAGTTGGAGAGAATAACATCAAAATAATAGATCAGAATAATTGTAGTGTACAATTATAAAGCTAAAAGTCATCAAATTTTCTAATAACTATGCCTCTCTTGAGCTTCACTAAAATTTGGATGTTTCAGATGAGGAACTTGCAGGAAAAAAGAGTTGGCTTGTTACAGAGTATCTAATCAAGTATAAAATTTAGATTTAATACTAAAAGGACCATTTTGATGCTGGTTAAGAATCTGGTTTCAAATGAACAGCAAAGGAAATTGAAAACTGAATTCAATTGCCACAAAGCCTCCAGGGTAATCATGCCTTGAAAAAACCTTCACCACTATCTCAGAGCACTCCATGATATCAAAAGTTGAAAGGGAAAAGGTGGTCAAGTGCTCACTCAAATCTGAGGTCAGAATAAAATGTGTGGTTGGTACTGTGAGGATAAGGGAATAGGGAAGAGACAAAAGCAAACCACAGAGATTGTTTATACTCAAAACTAGAGATGCCCACAAAAATAGAAAGAAAATATGGTAGATGTCTAAATTATCAAATAATTTCAATTAGGAGTTCCTCACCAGCATGCTTGGAGAGATGATGATTTTCAGCAGCTTCCCATTTGGTAAACTGCTCTCCACATTTATGGCAAGTGACTGTAGAAGAACCATTAAAATCTGTATCGAGAGAGACCCTACTGCTTGAATGCCCACCAGCACCAAATACACCAGAACCTCCAAATCCAGACCCTTCTCTGTCTGATAAAAGAAAAGGAGACTTTCTTGGAGGAGTTGTTGTGCTCCTAAATGAAGGGTTGAAATAGTGCATTGTAGGGTGTCCTCCAGGTCCTGGGGTACCTGGCCTTAAAGTACCAACAAAAGTTGAACCAACACCGCCATTACTACCACCACTAACACCATTATGGTTGTTACCATGACTAACACCACTACCAACCCCTTCTTGGAACCCACCAAAACCAGTGATTTTGAGCTCACACCTTGAGTTACTTAAAATAACTTCATGGGTTATTGGGTTAAGAAACTCACTGCTTCCAATGGATCTTGGACTACAACTTGGTGGCTTTTCCATGTGTCGTTTGCTTCCATGTATGACATCTTTGAGATTTGCTATTGACCTTGAACACCCTGACCTTCCTGCTTTTCGTGTCAAGATAGAACTCAAATGCTTTGTGGATTTTGGGTCATGAACTTCTGATGGTTCTGATTTGCAATGTAGAGATCTCTTCAAAGAGAACCAAACTGTTGGCATACTTCTACCTTTACTGTCCTTCCCTCCTTTCTTTTGCTTCTTGGGCTTCAAAATGTTTCAAAATCACAACTTTTCAAAGTAAAACTCCTCTCCATGCATCATTTCTAAAAAGCACATTACTTTGCATTTCCATGTTTTTTGCTTTTCCCATCTTGAAAGCTAAGCTGAAAAGAAGAATCTGAATATACCATTTGCCACTCTACGGCTTACTTTCTGCTTTAGCTACAGAACTCTCTTTCCTTTCAGTTTCCTTCCTACTTTGAGAAGCTAGCTAGCAGTCAACCTTTTAACAAACTGTATCAACTAAGTACTAATTAAACATGTTTGAGAATTCAGAAGAATCAAGAACCAAAATTTCTCATGAAGCATCCAAAAAATTCTGATTTTTTTTTTTCTACAGTTCAGACTTGTTGTGTGCATTCCATATTGAGAACCACATAACAATCATCAGCTGAAGCAAAAATTTGGTGCTTTTACAGAAATGGTAGTCCATGACTGACGAAGAGAAAGACAAATGTAAAACTAAAAAGCCAAAGAAAGCCCATTGTAAGCGAGGAGAAAACAACGAAGAGTAAAGCAAATAGCATTTGTACACTAGAAATTCAAGAAATGGAGAATCTTTGGTCCATGGGGAACATGACAGCACCACATGAAAAAACCACGGTCAGTGGTGTCTGTAATAAATGACAGTTACAGCTGAGGAAGGCAGACTGTGAAAACAACTCATACAGGACATTCTTAAATTGACTCTTTTCTGTGCCATAGCTATACCCTTCTCATTTTGAATTTGTTTTAGATTTTCGTGTTAGGAATTCATTCACAAGCTTCTTTTACCTTTTAACCTGCTTTGAAAGATTTTTGCATATTAGTGAACTGATAATCTAATTTCTTTTTCATTTTTCTGTTACGTGTGATGATTTTGACATTAATAAATAAACTTTCATTATTACTAAGTTTAAAGTTGATTTTGACCGTTCTTGGAGTATTTTGGGGCAGATGTGTGAGAACATTGGCATTGATGCAAACCTTACAAATCTTTTCAGTTTTATTGAATGCCTTGAAAAGTCCAAATGTATACCTAACCCAATCTTTGTTTTTTTTTTTTTTTCCTTCCATAGATGGAGTAACATTTAAATCACATATTAATGTTTGAGTAAGATCCTAATTTTGTTTATTTTATGGCTACTAATGCTGATATTGTATGCATTCTGCTCTTAAAAATTATTAGAAGAGCTACAGAACAGAAACGGTATTTCAGCACCAAGGTTGTTGAGGATAAGATTTCCAATATTCATACATGTCAAGAAGGTAATCTATGCAAAAGTTTGAGACTTTATGAAAGAATGGTGGTTGAAGGCTGGAATGAGACAAATGTTGATTTTTCATGAATGCACTCAATACGCATAGATTACCTTCTTGACATGTATGAATATTGGACACAACTATTGCATAAGACAAACTCATGGCACTCTATACGCATGTCACGTATAACTAATATAGAATAAATGGACCTATCTCATTAATTATGTGAAGAATTCCCATAATGAGAATCCCCTTAAGACGCTACCTAAACATTATTTAAGTACATTTATTAGACTTTATTTTTTGTAAGATTGAGTTAAAAAGAATTAAAATCCAATTTTAAATAGAAATAAATGTTATTAATAGAAAATATTTTATAATTTTACTTTGGTAATATTTAAATGTGTATAAATTTTATTACAAAATGAAAATAAATAATAATTAGGAGCATCAAACCTTCATTAACGAGTACTCTAAAAACATTCTTTGGCCAAAGAGTTTGAAATAATTAAATATTATCCAACATAGAATATTGCAAGAGATTGAGCAATATTAGAAGTAAACTTCTTATAAAAGGTCAATTCATAAAATTAAGAGTTTGAATTTCACTTATTAGAGTCTAAAATAATGGCATATTTACGTTCTTATATATATATGTGTGTGTAAAAATGTGTGAAAATAGTTTTTTTTTATTTTTTTTCTCACTAAGAGAGAGAGAGGGAGAGATTGGTCAGCATTGCGCAGCCATCAAAAGCAATAAATAAATAAATTTTTGTTCTTTTAATTGTATACAAGAAGCAAAGACTTTCTCCAAAAAATAAAAAATAAAAATAAAAAGGGACAGAATTGCTGTTTCTCAGGCGAGTCTGGTTTTAAAAAAGCAGAAATAATTGTCAAATATTAGGCTGTTCCTCTTTTTATTCTGGCGCACCTTCTTCAATAGTCCCTTTCAAAATATACCGCAGTTGTTACATACGACCACGCTAGCGTTCGTCATCTGTTTGTACATTTGCGAGTCTTCGTAGTGAGAAGGAAACAAGGGGAATCCGTTTGTCTGCTCTAAAAAAATTGTTTGTGGATAATGGGTTTTACAAAAGCCACATAAAAGAAATCCACTTAACAGTCAAAATCACGGTTAGCAAAGAACATACAAGATTTATGGAAGAACAATCTCATGGTAGAATATATTAAATGAACAAGTTTGTATAGATGCAAAAAAAGTCCAAAACATAAGACGAAGTTATATCCATCTTTCGTTTATCACAAGTGCAAAAATATCATTTTGGAAGTTGCTGGCCCCATATGATCTTGCTCATGGACATCCATACATTTTTCTTATGTTGAGATTTTGTGATTTATAAGGTATTGTTAGGATCTCCTTCTCTTAGTATGTAAATCATATGATAATCTTGATTTTTTTTTTTTTTAAGCGTAAGAAAATCATCCGGCGCAATTTTTGGATTTAAATTGATGCATTTATTAAAAAATAATTTTATTACAATATTTATATATATATATATAATTCATATCTGGACTGTGATATGAAAATACATCATTTATTTATTAAATTAAAATTTCAGCAGGGCCCATTTTAGTGAAAGTAGATACGGTCTCGATTGCTTCACCATTGGCCCATCATGCCATGATTGCTGATCCAGTGAAGTATGGTTTAGGTAATGTGTGTTCATGCATTTATAATCCATGGATTAAAGGAAAGCAATAAAGGAACTCTTTCTTTACTCCAAAACACAATTGGCATTTGAGAAAAGAAGAGCTCATTATTATTAGCTTTGGACACCAAACTCCAATCTCCATGCAACTTTTCAAAGTGAATTTTGAAATCCAAAAAGTGGTGAAAAAGAGGCATGCAAATGGCCAAAAACATTAAGTTATAAATAAATTAAAATACCCGTCAAAGCAGTGGGAAAAGGAAAAATATTGGGATCATATTTTTGTTCGTTTAATTTTGTCATCTTGCTGTTGGTCTGTATCATGTTGAAGAGGCATGGTCAAGAAACTAGACTCAGGAAGTGAAATAAGGGTACCATGTAAGTGGAATTTATTATTATTATTATTATTATTTCTGAAGTTTCTAAATCTACAGGCCCGTATCAGCTGGCCTCATATATATATATATATATATATATATATATATATATATGAGGCTGTGAGTACGTAATTTGAGTTTTATAAAGCAATAAAAGTATTTAAATAACAAATTATTGGTCTATTGATAGACAAATAAATTATTAGATGAATTTTCTATTAATATATAGCAATAAGATTCTGAAAATGCATTTGTTAGAAGATATTAAATTTTTTCATTTTCATTCTAAACAAGATTAGTTCTACAATAAAAATTTTTTAATAAAAATATATATAAAAAAAGAATAAGTAAAGGGTAAATGTGAATTTTCATAAATTCACTAAATGACAATAAGAGTAATTAAAAACAAAAGAGAATACCATTTATAATGTAAAGAAAAAAAGAAGAAGGAAAATGACGGAAAAAAAAGACAGGAAAGAAAATTAAAAAGGGAATCAATAAAGGGCAAATGTGAATTTTCATAAATCTATCAAGTGACACTAAGAGTAATTAAGAGAAAAGGGGAGGTTGGTCGTGTAAAAAAAAAAAAAAAACAAACCTCAATCCATACTATAATTGGGTGAAAATGAATAGTCTAGCAACATTGAAATCACCATGTATTTTAGTTTCTTTTGCTATAATTAGTTCTACAATAGAGATTTCCGGATATATATATATATATATATATATATATATAACAAAAGTACTTCATGATACTTGCATCAGTGCGAGCCATGTTATCGTGATAGGCTCTCGAGAAGGGAGGTCGGTACAGTTTCTTTAAAGCTCGAGAATATGGGCATTGAGCGGGGCCTATTTATTCTTTATTTCAAATTTAGGGTTGCAAACAAGTCCAACCGAGCAGAGTAGAACTTTCGACTTATCTAATTAATTTAAAATTACGTTCTTCTCGAACTCGGCTTGTTTAAATTGTTTAATGAGCCTATAAATGAGTTTGACTTAAATTTTGATATATTTTTTTAAATATAGACTGATTTTTATTTCTTAAAATAGAAAAAATTGAAGGTAATGACATATGAAAAAAAATGTAAAAATTTTATTTTCTATCATTTAAATTTTTCATGACATGTTATAAATATGTTTCAATGAAAGAAATTAAATAAATAACAATCCAACAAGTATATATTAAGCAAATATGTAAATTCATATTCCGTCTAGGTCTCAATTCCTTGTTAGATTTGTTTCATAAAAAGAATGTCTTTGATCAAATATTAAATTAGTTTATTTTATCAAATCTTGTACAAGTTGTTTTTCCTTTTTAAAATTTTTACAAGCGTACAAATCGGTTAATTTATAAATTTCTAAATAAACTTGCTTATAAGTTTAATTGAGCTAGCTTATGGGCCGTGATGAGCCCAATCGTGAGCTCGACTCATTTATATAACAAGTTAAAGAAAAAATTGTATAAATTCATTATATCTTAATAAATGAGTTTGAACCGAATGGTGGCTCGTATATCAACTCTTTTACGACCCTCCTATTAATAAACCAATCAGACTCGGAAAAATTAAAAAAAAGTTTCTTGCTTATGAATAGAAGCTACACACCTACTTGGTGCAAAGAGAGGAGGAAATTAAGTTCTTAAGATTAA